GTGCTCAGTCAAACGATGAACTTACGACCGGCAGAAAACAACTCCAGTTGAGTATGCCTGTGCTGTATCTCAACCGTGTTGGCCTAAAAAATTAAACATGTTAATTAAACCCATAATCGTATAATTCTTTTTAATAGAAACCGTATCTTAGTTTGTTCTTGCACTGTATCATATTGTGTATTTCATCTGTATATGTGTAATGTGTATATGTATAAATGACTACACTTTTACCGCATATTCTGCAACCTACAATAATTAATCACCTTATTATTGTCTCTCCATTTACCATGGCTGACTGCACTAATACCCTTTTAACAGTGGACACCGATTTCAGTATACATGTAGGCTTTTTGTTTAAAAAGGAATATGCAGGAAATTATATGTAACAATTAACTGTGTACTAATTACATGTTTGAATGTTATCAGTTTTGCGTTCTGAGATACAGTGATGTAAGCATCTTCTACAATTAACAATACATGTATATAATTAAATACAGAACTCTCTGCCGGAATTTTTCGTGGAAATCATTCGATCAAGTATAAATGACTGCGTGACAAGACAAATCAACTATTTATACCCGATAAAAGAAACTGGCTTATTTTAGGAACAGTGCTATATCAGGACATTTGAAATTTCTAACCAAGCAGATACATTAGAGACAGTGACTAGACTACATTTACGTAATCCGTATCAATCAAAGGTCTAAAATAACTGAAAATCATATCTGTCGGAGACCTACCAAATTTACCAAGTTTTATTATTACTATATTTATTACAATGCAAATACTTTAGAAATACATTTTTCAGAGGAGAGGGAATACATACAAGTATTTTGCTTCCGTGTGTGAATGCAGGTAATACTTGGCATCTCAGTTCTCAGTTTTATACCGGTTGTATATCTGAATTTGTATATGGAACCATGCGTACAGCATGACAATTACTTGCTAGTCGTCAGTCTACAACGCACAAAACACGGTCAAACAATTTTGGGCACCACTTTTGCAAGTTATTTATTACAATAAAGTTTTATTAAAATCTATTTCTATTTGTTTTCACCATTTTCCCTATTCCATTCCATGCATGTTTATGTTGCTACATCTTAATGCTCATGTTCCCAAATAATATAAAACCGTTTAATGTCTCTCCTTCCTAATCTAACGTTAAAACATTTCAGGTCATTACCATCATCTAATACACAAGCGATGATACCAAGACATATTTAATTCGGTTTTATGGTCTATGCGGTCTTACAATTGATTTTATTAGTCTAAAAATCTTATGTCTAGTACATATTTTCACAAACAGGGCTGTTAGCTGATATAAGGAAGGTAACATCCAGCTGAATTCCCAGTTGACGTATTTACTTTTTATAATCAAATTTGAGGACTGTATACGACATACGTTAGTCTCTCAACGACGTTTCTACAATTAATATTGTGAATAAGCCGTTGATATGCCAGTTGTGACAGGGATGATGTTATTGTAGCTGTAGCAGACAGATTGACAGTCGTTGCTACGTGCGTCACTAGGTAATTAGTACGGCATTGACCTTGTTGATTGTTACTATACTTTGAGGATTACCTCTGTGGCCAGTGGCGGACGTAATTCAAACTCCTTCCACACTGACACCGCATCAAATATATTTGTGTACCGATTACATAACTCTTATGGACAGGGTGGGGTGGTAGTTCACCGGACGACACTGTGTATATTGGGCGGCTCCTTTGATATCTCCTCCAAACATACTTTTATTGAATGACCCATTAAACAATGATACACATCTCGTTGAATATATCAAGGCACTTATTCATCTTTCATAAACTTTTTATTTGTCTTTGTGCTTAATATATCCACATATCAACGAAAATATGTAAAACATGTATCCACAAACAAATATACATATACAGGCTAGGTACTTGCCCACAGCAACACCTGCATAACTGTTTATTCATGCGTGGTGTGGTAGATCGTAATTGACCGAGAGCAGGTATTGTAGAATCACCTGTAAATAATGCCGACACTGTAATTAGATACAACGTACTAATGAGAATATGAGAATTATCATAAGAAGGCTGCTGTTTTTTTCTGAACTGTTACCATTTTCATACCAAAAGAGACAATGCATTTAAAAGTTGCTTTAGTGTCATAATATTCACTCAATCGCCTGTAAACATCGCACCGCATATAATGAAATAATTATTTCGAGATTTCGTTAGAATGTGAGATATTCAGCTAGACGTTATGCAATAAAAGAAGAATCGGTTTTTTTCCCCATTAAATACGCGCACGTGTACCTGTATATTGCATATCTATTGTCACTTAATGTCCCAGTGTGATGTATTAACGAGACATAAAATGGGAAGTGAAAAAGAAACAAACTAAACTTTAATTTGTTGAAAAATAACGCCAATGAATTGGTGTACACGCGCATGAATTTGTATGATAAACTGTCAAAACGTTTTGAGAGATAAGGCCGGGTTCATTAAAGATCGTTGCAATATGTAAAAAAGGTGAAATTTGTAAAACTTCTGCAAAGGAAACATCCAACCAAAGGCCCTTTTAAAATAGTAATGCAATGATATAATACAAAGTGTGTTTCACATGATACAATATACTTTGTAAACAATTAGTTAATTCTTTAAAGGCACTGACGAAAACATGGGCGAAATATTGGGCAAAAATGAGTTGAATTAAGTTAACATGAGTTGAATCATGTGTCATGCTTATAATCCCTTAATGTATTTGCGAAACTAAAACTGTTGAGCAAAGGAAAATATGCTCGCCCATGGGCCAAACCTTTTTCTCGCCCATGGGCGAAATATTTCAATATCGCTATAAAATCGTTGAATTAAGTTAAAATGAGTTAAATTTTGTGTCATGATACTTGATGGAACACAAGTTAAGTATTTGCGAAACAAAAACATGAGTTTTGTGTAAAGGAAAAATTCTCGCCCATGGGGGAACTATTTCAATATCGCTATAAAATCGTTGAATTAAGTTAAAATGAGTTAAATTTTGTGTATGATACTTGATGGAATACAAGTTAAGTATTTGCGAAACAAAAACATGAGCCAAACCTTTTTCTCGCCCATGGGCGAACTATTTCAATATCGCTATAAAATCGTTGAATTAAGTTAAAATGAGTTAAATTTTGTGTATGATACTTGATGGAATACAAGTTAAGTATTTGCGAAACAAAAACATGAGTTTTGTGTAAAGGAAAATATTCTCGCCCATGGGCCAAGCCTTTTTCTCGCCCATGGGCGAACTATTTCAACATCGCTATAAAATCGTTGAATTAAGTTAAAATGAGATAAATTTTGTGTATGATACTTGATGGAATACAAGTTAAGTATTTGCGAAACAAAAACATGAGTTTTGTGTAAAGGTAAAATTCTCGCCCATGGGCGAACTATTTCAATATCGCTATAAAATCGTTGAATTAAGTTAAAATGAGTTAAATTTTGTGTATGATACTTGATGGAATAAATATTCTCGCCCATGGACCAAGCCTTTTTCTCGCCCATGGGCGAAATATTTTAATATCGCTATAAAATCGTTGAATTAAGTTAAAATGAGTTAAATTTTGTGTATGATACTTGATGGAATACAAGTTAAGTATTTGCGAAACAAAAACAGTTTTTGTGTAAAGGAAAATATTCTCGCCCATGGGCAGGCACATGGGCCAATCTTCGCTCATGGGCAGGCCCATGGGCGAGATGGTGTAAATATTGAGTTTTTGAACTTTGTTTTTTCATTTTTTCTTCCTTAGTATGTTCCCATGAAAACAGCATGCTTTTTTTTGTAAATACCTTTGACCGAGACTGGGAAAAGACCGTAGAGTTTCTGGACTTTTGGGTTTCGAGAATTAAAATGTGACGAGTTAATTGTATATATCTGTACGTGGGCCATTCGTCACCACTCACCCCTTTCCGTAATCTGCAAGAAGACTCGTCCCCCTATCGATGAAAGTTATGTGCGAAAATACGACAAACCAATCAAAATGGGCGTATGATTTCAAGTTCTTCGTCAAAGAATCCCTGAAAATAATTTTTGATTTTATATATGTCTTGCATCTAAAAATATACCCAAGACACAGTTAAATGTGTTCAATCATACTGTATAATTCCGCATGTCCAGCTGTGCTTTAAATTGCATCTGAAATATATAATATATGGGTAAAGATGTGTGAACCATTACGCAACGAGTTGACAATTGTTTTAGGTATGCCCGTTTGCGCTAAGACGGAGCCCGGTCGCAAAAATGGCCATGAGAGGGGCACGAGTCGCTATTCGGCTTGTCCCGGAATAACACGAGTTGGTCACGAATGTACGTGGGCCTGAGGCCTTATTACCGAATAAGCTGATTGATAGGTTTGAGGTGAACGATCTTGCCACACCATGCTGACAATGGACTCTGCAAGCCATGTCTGAGTGTGGTGTCAGTCACAAAGTGGTTATATCTTGCCGCAGTCAGGAGAAACCTGTGGCGGAACGCTGTCGACTACCTTCGTATCGATGGGTAGCTGATCGAAGCGTCTGGTATCGATTCCATGCCCTGTTGATCACACTTTGGCTGACACCAAAGACAATCACTGAATGCTTCTATCCGTTCATTATGAAACTGAACGTGGTCTAGTGAATAGAGCGTCTGCTCGAAAAGCGGAATGTCCGGGTTTCGATCCCCGGCCGCGTCATAACAAAAGACGTTAATATATGGTACTTGTTGTTACCCTGCCTTGAGCTCAGCATAAAAGGGGGTAAAACAAGGACTGGTCGGCTCGGAGTCTAAGTGGGGTATTCATGTTAAACTGCGACGACATGGTATCTCAGTGGGCTAGCACTGTACAATCGGCACACACACGTGCATGTTCGTCGATATTTCTTTATTTGTTGGATGATTTTATATGTTGTATTTAACGGAAAATAAAAAAAGAAACTGATTAGATATCCTGATTGTTGGATCAAAAAGCAATCTTGCGACCATATGTTTTGCACAGGACATTGGGAAGACATGGCCAAAGAGCTGGACAGAGGTCGAGGCCAGGACATTCTGTGAGGAGGTCTTTAATGAATCGAAATCAGTACAAGTGTGCAAGAATGTAACTGGCGTTGAAAACATCAACGGAAGAATTGAAAACTGTATCCTGGACATTCAGGTATTGCAAATACATTTTGAAGTAGGTATTGAGGTATTACACATAGAAGTAGACATTCAGGTATCGCACACAGAAGTAGATATTCAGCTACTACACACAGACATAGACATAAAGGTATTGCACACAGAAGTAGATATTCAGCTACTGCACAAAGACATAGACATAAAGGTATTGCACACAGAAGTATAATTCAGGTATTGTACACAGAAGTTGACATTCAGATATTGGAGATAAAAGTTGACATTCAGGTACTGCACATTGAAGTAGACATTCATGCATTGCATATCGAAGTTATACTGATGTATTGTTTTTCATGCTAAAAGATTCAAAGAACGGGAGCTTCTCCTGTCAAAATCTAGGCAACATATTGTTCTATGTGGATATGCATTTGCTTTAATATGTAACGTCAGGGAATGTTTACCCATTATATATCATGTGAGAACAGATAAAGATGTGGATTTCTTTCGAAGTTGACGGGCACTACCGACTTTTTTCGATTCTCTGTCGACGCGGTGAGAGACAAATGTCTACACGAGGTGTTGGTTGACCCTACACTCTGGGTGAAAAGTGGAGAGAAAAACACGTCAGTCTATGACATTGTTGTGGCCGAGGCTTGTCTGAACGACTGCAGCGGAAAAGGAACATGTACAAGTGGTATGACTCACAGAATAGTAAATAACATATACTCTGAAAGAAAGTAGGGGATACTCGGTTAGTTAGTTTCCAGTAATAGTTGAATGATACTAGTGACCGAGTTAGGACCACATTACAACCGGAAGTGAAGTATGAAAGTAGATGTTATGACCGCCAACGATCTTGAAGGACGATGGGGTAAGATGGGGAATTTCACAGTTGACGTTTTTGGATCTGTTGTGCGGAAGAACGCCACGATTTGTCAAACATTCATTCACTCGACGAGGCATTCTGTGATTTGAGGGAGTCTATCCCTCTCCTCTTGCATCGCCTTGCCAAGTTCGGCCAACGTGGTCGACGGCCTATGACGTTGACGCACTCGTCTCCCTATCATGTCGTGTTCAATGGGTAAAATGCCTTGGAGCATTGCTGGCCATGGCATTCTATGGATGTTGTGCTGCTGGATGTGAGCATTGAACAACAAAGGGTGTCAGTGTGTTGTCCCGATAGTATTGTCCAGTGACCCTTCCTTTGGCATTATGGAGTGGGTTTCTGTCAGTCATAGTCATGACACCCCACACCATAACCGATCCAACGCCAATCTGCCACGAGGGCTCAGGTTGACATTGGCGTGACGTTCAGTTCGACGTCGCCAGACCCTTCCTGGAATCATGACATCTGCCCAGCGACGATCGTCCCATTTTGGACGCTGTGTATACCACTGGCGTATGTTGGCAATATGGCGATTTGTTAGAAGCAACACAATGTGTAGACGATCTCTAATCGTCTGACCCGAATCTCGTACTCCAGTACTGATGAAAGTTTGCAGCAATTTTGATTCGGCCGTTTCAGCTCGATTTCGTAGAGCCCGGTTTCGTATGAATCGATCCTTGTACATGGACGCCCTGTATCAATAAGACTGACAGAAATAATGGTCCACAGAGATTTATCGACCTTCCGTGAATGTATCCAAAGCAGGAATGACACCCAACGCTCGTGTGTGGCGCTACTGCGCGCGACACGTGTAAACTATCAGATGTGTGTTGGCGTTATCTTTTTTATGCGTTCCTGCATAGAATGTTTGTCGTAATGTTTTAATACTTGGTATTTACTTCTTTATTTCATGATCCCCTACTTTTTAAGGAGTACTATTACGACATTTTAACAGGCGATTGTGTGTGTCAAACCAACTATGGCGGCTCTGACTGTTCTGTTGACCTCACAACACCCCCTCGACTAACTGAAACGGAAGCGGTTGACACATGTGACATGTCGCGTGATGCATGTGACGTTATTTCCGTGAAAGGCGAGACGTTTGTCGAAGGCGTATCAAGGTGTTTGGTTGAAGACATCAGGGTAAATGTAGTTCATGATATGAACGTGGCATTCGTTAGCTTTATCATCTTGAAGCTACTCCAAGCGTTAACAATACATCCTCATCTTGAAATGTTGCTTTTCTTATTAATTAATTTATGTTCCTAGACTGGTCATTATCATCTAGCATAAATGTATTTCGCTACAACAATAGCTGTATTAGTATTAACTGATACCAAACATAACCTACGCTTAACATAATTTACAATGTCGTTTGCCAGGTTAGAAAATCAGGACAAGAAATCGTTGGATCAAATATCTACATGGCAACCGTGGTCAACATAGGCCATGCACAGTGCAAAATCATGACCAATGACAATACTGGAAGTGAGGACGGCGAGTATGTGAGTGCCTACCGGATATCGGTTGCCAACAGTGTCAGTAACTATAGTGACAGTGTGGGCCTGATTGTGTTTAACAGTACGTGTATCCGAGTTAGTGGTGACCGAGAAACAAAGTTCAAGTGGACAGTGAAGGTATATTTATATGAATTTTACAATTTAAGCCAACAAACAATTAACTACTTGAATTGTTATAAAATTAACTCTTCCAAAAAAGAAACTTGGCATAGCTGTAAAACCTCTTTTTGCCAAATATCTAATATAATTACATTAAATGAGAACCAAATAAGTCAAACAGAAAGATGATGTGTCCATAATACGCGAAAACATATGCAAAGCACATAAACGTAGCGGTTGGGGATCAATTTTACAGCTTCATCCAAACGCAACCGCCTGTAAAAAACGTGCAGCACAGGATCCTGCATTTAGGCATGCAGGCCCCCCTGCTGAATGGGTATAAAAATCCACATCAACGGCTGTTCATACAGTCCTTATAACGGCAGTAGAGGCGGTGACAGAATGCCAAGACTGAATGCAGCTCAACGGAACAACGCCATTGGGAGATTACAAGCGGGAGCAACTCAGCAAGAAGTGGCCAGGCACTTTGGCGTATCCAGACAGACAATCTCCGCACTGTGGATACAACAACACCAACAGAGTTGACGATAGACCTAGGTCAGGAAGACCAAGGGTGGCAACCCAAGCACAAGATCGATACATCCGGCTGCGACACCTCCGAGACCGCACTACCACAGCCACGTCTAAAACCACACAGATCCCTGGGGTACGCAGAATATCAGATCAAACGGTACGCAACAGACTGACGGAGGATGGACTTTTTGCACGAAGACCTGTTCGACGTCATGTATTGACCCCACGTCATCTGGCGGACCGTCTTTTTTGGTGCCAACAGAGGGTTAGATTGGCACGTGCAAGGTGGAGAAATGTGCTGTTTACTGACGAGTCCCGTTTCCTTCTTACACGTGCTGATGGGTGCGAACGTGTCTACAGGCGTCGGGGCGAACGGTACGCCCCAACTGTGTGCAGCAGGTCGTCCCATTTGGCGGCGGGAGTGCCATGGTATGGGCCGGAATTCATCACGGTGGTAGGACGCCTCTCGTGCTTGTGGCAGGTGCATTGTCAGGTATACGTTACAGAGACTTGATCCTACAGCCTTACGTTCTTGCTCACGTCAACGTTCATGGCGGACACTTCCAGCAGGACAACGCTCGACCGCATATTGCACGTGTTTGTCAGGACTTCTTACAGCACAACAACATCCAGACATTACCTTGGCCAGCCCGGTCACCAGATTTGTCCCCGATTGAGCATCTGTGGGACGAGTTGGATCGACGCGTTCGCAGAAGGAATCCACCGCCCAAAACACTTCCGGCGCTTCTTGATGCACTTCAGCATGAATGGCAGCACATCCAACAGCGTGTTATTGCCAACTTGATTGCATCTATGGGTCGTCGGTGTCAAGCGGTGATTGATGCACGTGGTGGGCACAACCGATACTGGCATTTTCTGTACCCCTGTGACATTAACTGTATCGTGTACGTGTGTCTGTCTAGGTGACACGATTAATGTTTTGAATATTGTGTACATTGATCTTCAAACAGTGTTTCAATTATGGTTTCTGTGTCCTATTTTGAAACAATCGCATTATATTACATTTTGAAAGTCAGTGTCAAGTTTCCTTTTTTGAAGAGTATAAATAGCACCAAAAAATCAGTTCACCTAGTAATTTGTAAGTGGAGCAGGTCTATTCTAAATGTTTGATCTGATTATATCTGGAGTTGGGTGTACAGGAGTTTCATGAAACTTGTTATTCCAGGGTCCATACTGCCTCGACAGAGGGACGTGTGTTCCTCATGGTGCGAGTCAATCTGGAAACAACTGTCTGGTGTGTGACGTGGCCGACAACAAGAGAACCTGGAAAACTAGACCAGGTAAAGTACTGTTAGCACTAAGTACATCAGATGTAAACTGGAGGGACTTTGGATAAGGTCGATATGCTTATCCCTTTGAAAATAAAAGCGACAAAACCTGTTCCATAATCATGATGACAAAAACGAAAACACAGTTTCCGTAATCGTAAGAATTCACTGCTAAAATGCGATTCTATTGTACGATTCCTTCCATAATCACTATCAAATGGTGATGATACCAGATGTTCGCGAAATGTAGCACCCGTCAAAACACACTCAAAGGCAAGTCAAATGTTCACCTGAACAAACACGGGAACATATGGTACAAGTCAATTTAAAGAATAGCAATAAGATAATTTTTTGGTCAAATTTAGGAAATGTCCACCTCAAGTAACCCAACAACTTTTGAGCAAGAGTAGAATGACGTTCTTTAAAATAAAATATTCGTTGAAAGAACGTGTACTATTGTACCTCAAACGTTGCGTGGATCGTTGCTCATGATATTAATCACTGGATTGTCTGGTCCAGACTCGATTATTTACAGACCGCCTTCATATTGCTGGAATATTGCTGAGTGCGGCGTCACATAACAAACCAACACACCAAATCAAACGTTGTGAAAGATTGGTTGTGGTTGATAAGGTTGGGGCACCGGAGCTTTTGCGTGAGATGTTTCATTTACTCTTTCATGATTTGTTGAAACATACCCCTAGGATTTCTTGGGAAGAACAAAGTCCCCATTGACCTATGTAGTTGTAAAATTCCAAGAAAATATAAATATGGTGTCTTCAATATGTGACCTAGTTGGTTGTGTGACTATTCGGCGAACCGTTGCTCATGCCTTCAGCCACTGGTTTGTCTGGTCAAGATTTGATGTTACTAAAATGTAAGTTACTGTGGCGTAAAACAATAGTCAACTACTCATTCGCTCCATAAACAAGTATATATGTTATAATGTATGTTTCAGAGTCGAGATGCCAGGCAGAGACTAGGCAGCTTCTTCTGATAGCTGTAGCTGCTGCTGTCGGGGGAGTCGTTCTCGTCATCATCATCGTTGTTGCGTTGATCTGCTTATTCAAACAGAGGCAGAGAACTGGTAAATAAACAACTATACGACTTAATGAAACGGCATTCATGGTTTTAGATGAAGGAAAATCTAACTGGTGTGATAACATGCACTTTTGCCCTTTACTCTCACAATAGGCTGCAATCGCCATGATATTATTTCTGTTAAACAGCGTTAAAACCAACTTTCATTTTCAATTCTGCCATTAAAAGAACATTGAAGATTGTAGTCCCTGCTTGCACACTTAGATGTACTATACTGCCAAGTAGCTCAGTTTTAAGAGTGAGTGAGTGAGTGTGGTTTTACGCCGCTTTTAGCAATATTCCAGCAATATCAGGGCGGGGGACACCAGAAATGGGCTTCACACATTGTACCCATGTCGGGAATCGAACCCGGGTCTTCGGCGTTACGAGCGAACGCTTTAACCACTAGGCTACCCAACCGCCCCCTCAGTTTTAAGAATAAGATTGTATTAATAGTGACTGTAAATATAACATCACACATAGTTATATTTCTAATGTAATGTGTTTCTGTTACAGGGCAGAACAATGCAAAAGGGAAAGAGCTCACATAAGAATGAACACAACATCCAGCTGTGTTGCCTGCACACTGCAAATGAACAATACCATCCTCAAATCTGTTATTTTGGGAGTTTCGAGTTTCGATACGTGTTTGAAGACCTGTATTATCTGTATTATCTAGTTATGCGTAGAGTATATACATGTATTGACATATAGAAGATGTCATTGTTGCTTTGAGCAGAGAGTTCTTGTGAAAGTCGAATTGGATTTGTCACTTTCATTTTCAAATCTTTAAAACATGACTAATATAGATAATTCTACCGTGAATTGATAAATTACTCGATCCTGATTGGTCAATGAGAGGTTATTAAATCACAAAAGACCCCCTCTGAATGAAAGAGCTGGATTAGCGGAAGCTAATATTCTTAAAAAAAGTTGTCTTGTCGGTAGGCACATTTATATAATTATATCTACAATTATAGATTACAAAATGCAAAGTTGCGGTAACTACAATATTCAAAGGATGTGTGGCAATACATTTCGGGTAGAAACACGACTTAAATCTACTAAGAGAATGTATTTTAAGTTTTGATACAATAGAGAGCTTGGAATTCGGCGCTTTTCTATATACGACTGTGACGTATTATCTTTTGCGTCACAATGAGCGATAAGACGTCATAATGGTGACGTGCGGTGTTGAACGAAAGCTTTGCAAAGCTTGCTTAGGTTTTATCATGTGTGACCAACTCATGTTAGTTTCCAAGTTGCCGTGCTTATATGATTTCAATGCCTGTCATATGTTCGAGTGAAGTATTGCGGTGCAAACAAACTGCCTGAGCATATACAGCGCCATATTTGGTTTAAAGGATGTTGTCGGTGAATCCGTAATTCACATCGACCACCCTCTCAAAACACTGGACTCAACCCATGCCGCTTCACTCAATATATTTGCTAGACCAAAGAGTTCGCGTTTTATTTAGTCACGGTAGAAAGGAAATAAACATAATGTGTTTCCAATGCTGCGCGTTCGGTACCAAATTCAATTTAGCGCGGTGAAATCTACAGGTAACCTAACTCTACATTGAATCATGACTGTAGAAACCACAGTTATGCATTTCTAAACTAGTATTGTGAACATCATTGTTTCAAAATGCCTGTCCACAGTGACTGAAAAAAACCAGAACTCACTGTCAATAAGAGGGCTGTTTCAATCAGAGGGGGGTAATGTGCTTTGAAAGGCGACAAACCGATATTTTCAAATTCATGGTAGAATGATATGTGCTCAAAAATATATTCAGTTTATAATGACCTTTTTACTTCTGTTTTCAATTTATGAATTGCGTTCTGTGTTAAAACACATCTCCTGTCCGCTGTACAATTTATTTGCTTCAGTTACATTTTCCAATCCTACCAGAATTCTTTTATATTTGTTGATTACATTCAAATAAACCTGTTAACAAAGAACTGGACTTTGCGTTTTGTATTCGGAATGTTGATCGAGGTTTCAGTTTACGCACAGTGACCGGTCAAACCAGAGACCTCTTTCGTTCATCATCTCATGCTCATACTTACTGGCAATACTGAGAGAAATAAACACATGTATCATCTGGGGATGTTTCATTCGTTAACACGGTAATGTATGCATTCTAGAAATGTAACTTGTGAATTTGGCGAAGATTGTCTAGAAGCATTAAACAAATACGAAATACACGTTTTTCTCATCTGATCATAATCCTTGAAGTCAGAAGTGTATGTATTTAGTTAGAAGTATGTAACTATTTTTACTCATTCTTTTTGCATCGGATTTAAGTAGAGAATAATATTGAATGGTGTCATGATCAGATAAACCAGTGATTGTATCGTATTGTTCTTCTTTCATTTATTTATGAAAATAAAATAAAATTAAAACTGCGCCGTTATTGACAAAAACTGAAATCAACTTCGCTCAGAGAATCTGTGCTTATGATAAGAAGTTTAATGTAAAAAGCAAATATTTTTTGTGTGTATAATGTTCTATGGTAAATCAAATCAAATACCAAAGAAGGCATAAAATGATCGAAGTTGAAACGACTATTCCTATGCAATATTAGAGTCGATAGCGTAGCCTAGTGGTTAAAGCTGTTCCTCGTCACGGGTTCTGTTCCCGACATTGATACAAAATGTGAAGCCCATTTTTGTTGTCCCCCCGCCGTGATATTGCTGGAATATTGCTGAAAGCGGTGTAAAACCATTCTCACTCACTCAATCACTATTCAATAATAAATGAAACTGATTGCTGAACCATTGTTTAATTTTTTAGTTTCGTGCTTGTCAAATAGTCCTTCACATTTATGCAGCAATATCGGTGTTATGTACATGCGTTTGTATTTGCTGACTACATTCAAAAATAGCTGTCGAGCCTCGATACTGTTTCATAATATGAGGTTTATTTTCTTTCCAAACGGTTGAACCATATTTGATTGATAATTCATATGAGGAAAAATATAAATGCATAGTAGAACAGCCGTTGTCAGAGAACTATTCAGCGCTCAACACAAGCGAGGTCATGAGGTGAAGTATTTATTAAGCTATGTGAGATGAAAATATTTCTTTGAAAGGGCAATAGCAAATGTGGGCGTAGATGACAAAGTGATGCTTCACTGCTCTTTATTTATATACCTAACTGAATCAGGATGTAGGCCATGACACGAAGGACAACCTTCCTGGTACTATGTTTTCACATTTTGTTTATGGGGCAGTCCAAACGTACGTCAATGAAAATGTTTTCTTTCGTAGCAAATATAACATAATAAAGTAAACACGATACCCCATGGCAGAGTTTTCAAGTAATGTTTGCTTTTGACAGTCAGTTGTTTAGTTAGTACAAGGAAGTCGGCTTTTCTTCTTTTCAAATAAGCGATAGACAAACCCCAAAGGTGTTTAGATGAAGGAGTGCAGTGATGATGTCTGTGACCGTGTGTTCCGCGTCGGTGGATGTGAAAGGAGGAGTGATAAAGTGAGTGAGTGACTATGGTTTTACGCTGGTAGGCAGTACCACAGCATTATAACGGCGACCAGGCAGGCAATGTGTTGTTGATTGGACAATAATTCCACAATGCACGCCGTCGGCGGGTGCAGTCACACTCAAACAGCTTGATCACATTTCTGGTGTCCCCCGCCGTGATATTGCTGGAATATTGCTAAAAGCGGCGTAAAACCAATCTCACTCACTCACTTCTTGAAATGTCTATGTTCACATATCTTGTGTGTTCTTGATTTGTGTTCCTTAGCCTTTGATAATTCTGTGTCAACCTCAGTAGTACTACTACTTTACTTAAAATCGTAAAAAACCTCAGATAAAACACACCTGACCAGCAAAAGGCACCTGCTCAGCACCTGTTTAATGTGTATACAACGTTACATGTTGTTTGAATGTGAGTGAGTGAGCGAGTTCATACGTTTATCACGCGACTGAAGACGTACATGTTTCCTCGAAATCAACTAAACACTGACGGACTACTTCCACATTTCTTAGGAAACACCCGGGAAATCCACGAGTGAGTGTGTGAGTGTGGTTTTAGGCCGCTTTAAGGAATATTCCAGCAATATCACGGCGGGGGATACCAGAAATTGGCTTCGCACTGTGTACCCATGTCGGGAATCGAACCCGGGTCGTCGGCGTGACGAGCGAACGCTTTATCCACTAAGCTACCCGACCGCCCTGGGAAATCTTCGAAGGTTCATACTCCAATGACCTCATACAAAGCGGAAGGCAATTTATAAATATTGAACATTTTATGAGTTATGCCCCAGGCGCTATCGACATCCTCATTTGATGGTCCAATCAATTTGTTTGATACGCAACAGATTATGCCAAAAACACCTGAGCGGGTAATTCGTCGTTGATACCGTCATTCCGTTGCAGTGACACGGCCGTGTACATTGACACCTTTTACGGGCGCCTCAGTGATCACAGGGCATACCGGACTGTTTGGTGTTGTGGTTTGTCAGTTGAACGTTGCGATAGCGTTGCTGTGACGCAAAGATAAGTGAGTATGTTAAAATGTAACGTCACATCGGCATTATTTCAGCTATGTAGCGACGACACACAAACATGAACACTGATAGTACTGTTGCTGAGAAGTGAGATTCAGAGTGACATTTCGAAATTTCGATGCATAGGTGATTGAAATTATGTCTGACTCTGATCGTAGATAATATGTCCAAGTGTTTGTTCAGATGAACGCTTGACTTGCAAATGTTTATGACGGGTGTCACCAGTAGGTCAAGATACGCTCATCTTTTGGCGAACACCTCGTTTCATAACTAATTGTTGTACCTTGATTATGAATCATGCAAATCCATTGGTTATTCCGTATCACGTGACGAAACATACATTTGAATGTTGACCCCAATATCATGTTACTGACACTGACCTCGAATATTGACTCGTCACTCGATCAGTATTACCCTGTCACGTGATGAATATTGACTCGCTGCTAGAAAACAAGATGGCGTCATTTAACGATTCGCAGCTACGTTACTGTAATGAAACAGAAGATGATTTGAAGGATTCATAAACTTTAGAGGAAATTTCGGAATAACAAAGCGCATGATGCGGCCTCAGCTCGGTCAGAGTGTCCTTGTTTTGACATATTGACCTCTTCAAAAGTAATTATTTGTATTCTGTTAGTGATTCATGAATACATACTTGTGATATGGTTGGAATAAGAAAGAATCTTATAATTATGGGAACTGCTTATTTTGAACAATCAAAAAGGAATTTTGTCAATTCAATTCAATGGTTTATTGTATGAAAGGCCATTGGCCCATATACAAGTAGGTTACATAGACATACACTTCCGTCAGTTATATTAACAAATATTGTAGTATACGGAGTATCAAGACAACAACAACAGACGTAACACAAAAGTATGATGTACGCATAAAGACACTTGCAGTTGAAAGCTATAATTTTTTGCTTGACAGCTGACATTCAAAGTTATTAGTAGATATACATGAAAATGATCAGACGGGTAGATATTTCCTTCTTATTTTGGTATATATGGGGCAAATAAACATAAAATGAAATTCGTCTTCAGCGCCAAGGTTACAGACGGGACTTTTCAAACTTTAATATTTTCCTCTATTCACTTTTAAATCATTCAGACCAAGCCTATTAAAGCGTATGCATGTATTGCGGAAGTGTGTGCATCTTTAATTTGAACGAAACGACTCTGGTTCAAGGAGAGACTTAATGTTACGATATGTGTCGTATCTCGAACTTCCTGAAAGCCTAGAATGCCACTCCTGAATGAACATATCTATAGCACGAGTACTAAATTGTTGTAAAACATATGAATGTCACCAATAGATTGCGAGATACATATGAGTCCAAAGCCATAATCAAAAAGAGTCAAGCGTACACGGGAAGCTCATGTGTCCTTTCCAATATTATTAAGATATACCAGCATATTATACTATTTCTTTGGCAGGCTTACATAATAACTTCAGCCAATAACGAGTATAAGATGTTATATATAGTGGGAACCTCCCACATCCACCATAAACCATATTACTGGGAGTTGACATTCCCACATTAAGAAATATTTTACAGTTGAACCTTTTCGATTGAATAAAGCTCTCGACAGCCCCATATTTCTCCGCCAAACAATAAGATCGGCCGTATTTGACAATCAAACAGTTTAAAGAAAATGTGAGGTGTAGCAAAGCCAAGTTTAAACACAACAGACTGTAATTGAAAGAAAGCTTTCTTTGCTCTTGTTGATACATTTAACACCGATTTACTTACGTTTCATGTACTTGTGAATAATATTCCAAGGTATTTATATTCCCAGTATTCATATCTTCACCTTTAAATGCCACCATTTCTCTCAATGCAGTAGGCCCTCCTTTTCTAAAAGTCACAATATTTGTCTTATCTAAGTTTACTTCAAGTCTTCATTTATCCGAGTACACTGACAGAATATCGAGTTGGTTCTGTAATCCTGATATGGTGCTTGACAAAAGAATGACATCATCCGCAAACAACAACATCAAAAGTTCTATTATGTCAGGAAAAAGTTGGACTCTATGTTTTCCAGAAAGTGAAATTTCATTGTATAGTTCATTAATCAAAAATGAATATAGCATAGGGCTCAATACACATCCGTGACGCTGACCGATCGAAAAAGTCAGCCTTGTCACATCGAACATATGATTTAACATTTTGATAAATTGATTTAAGTATCATATACATTTGGCCATCAAAGTTGTGATTTTGTAAACATTTCCACAATCGACGTCTATCCACAGAATCGAATGTTTTTTTGAAGTTCACAAAGGCAACATATAATTTACGTTTATTATATGAGAGATCTTTTTCAGTTACTGCATGCAGTGTATGGTCAAATATGGACAAATGTGGAATAGCCTTTCCAGAATCCAGCCTGCGCTTCGGGTATCAGGTCCCACATGTTCGACCACTAAATCAGTCTGTTATTGATAATACTGGTAAATACCTTACCTCAGATACCAGTTAAAAAAATACCCCGGTAGTTGCCAGGGTTGTTCACATTACCATGTTTAAATATGGGGATGATAATTGATTTCGCCCATGTGGATGGGAACGTACCCTCATCAAATATTTTATTGAAACATCTCACAAGAAATGGCATAGAGTTAGGTAGAGAATATTTGATCATTTCCGATATAATTTAGTCGACACCGACAGAGTTTACAGTCTTAAGCTCGGAAAAGGCGTCTTGGATTTCTGTAGGCGTTATAAGTGATTCTAGAATTTGTATGTCTACATATTTGTTAGTGTGCTTGCCAACATCTTCAGGATATAAGCATTCAGAATAACATGGTGCTTCATCAGATAAAAATAGATTTTTAAAATGTGATAGCCATGCATTTGCTGATATGTTTGGTTTGTGAGTGTTCCGGTTTGGACATGAACGAATCGTTTTCGAAAGCGTGGATGGGCTGTATAACGTGCAATAGAGTTCTGTCAGTCTTGATCTTTGGATGTTAGATTTGAATTTCCTACATGTTGATTTGTAGATATTTCCTAATTTGCAATATTGTTTCCTATTATAATCCGTCCGTTGGCGTCTGAATTTCCGAAAAGCCCTCCAAAGCTGAACGTCTGTCGGTAGGTGTAAACCATCAACATTTACGCAATGATGTTATGGTATCCGTCAATTCCAATTCGAATGGTTCATATCTTGTATTAAGTTGTTGGTGGACGAAGTGGATAGACTTACGCCAAATATAAAATATTTAAGGGTATAGAACAGTGTTTTAGCTATAACCGACCAGATGTGTGATGCTCATGTGGCAAGTGTTTGTGGAGAAAGTGAAGAAGTCTTCTCCAGGCGTCCTCCTGGGCTGCAGCATGAGCTTTAGGCTGTCCTCCCATCACCAGTGTATAGCCTGTTGGGGAAGCACATCCAGAGTCGAGTACAGTACAAGTTTGTCAGTGAGGAATTTATCAGGATTGAATATAAACGCTTACCTGGTCAAATATGTAAAATGTCATATTGAGAAACAGACTAAAATACAAATACAATTGAACAGTATTAGTAACATGTATCGATCTAACTCTGTTGAAAAATTAGCCGTCATTGTTGTTGCTCAGTTAAATATATTTCATCACCGCAATATCGATCAACGTTACTAAGTCAATGACCATTTCAAATTCTTTTCTGTTTAAACATATTACAGCCTCGTTCAAACAATCTCGATTAAAACTTACAATATGGTATTTAATAAAAAAAACAAACTAGAGCTACTGGTGTATAGTCATGTCACTATGAAACAGAAACCTATATAGATTTGCTGTGTATTGCCACATTGGAGGATGCAATATCGTTGCAAGCATGGATATGATATGATTCTTGTGACACGAGGTAGAATGCAATTATAGCGCACATGTCACATCATAAGGTGGAGTAAAGAAACAGTGGTGTCGAAAAGGTGAATGGTAACTTGTTTGGGGCAAAAATTGACCTGATGACAGTTTCTCGAACTTTGGTCCTTCTCCTGGTTACAAAAGACATGTGGTGTCTCCATTGGCATAATGATTTGGACAAATCACGAGAATAAACTGAGATCAACAACAAAGACAACGTGGAGAAGTTAAATGCGAAAATAAATGTCCCGAAACGCTAGCACGCAAAACAGCACACAAGCATGCACGCACGCACACACAGGCACGCAGAGATGCCGATATCTTAGTACAAAGTGGTCAGTTTGTTGCAGCACTGTGAGACGTCTACAGTGGATTTGAGTGACAGACTACAAGAATGTGTTCGGTTTGTTCTGTATTGGTCTTTGGTTGTACTGTGTGCTACATGTACACGTAAGTGTGGCTAATACAAATAAACACTCACCAAGGACTTTATGGAACATTGCTCTGGACACGGGCATGTATGGTGGCTCAATAAGATGTCCTGTACATGGATAGATGATGAGTTCAATGTTATTTTTCTTCTCTTCAGGACAAGTCTCAATGAATGTATTGGAAAAGTCTGTTCTCCATACGCCATCATCTTCACCACACAAGTATAAGATCTGGGCATTATTCGACCAGGCCTGCAAAAACATTAAAATAGTGTCATGAAGCAGCATTACCTAATACCCGAGTGTACAAACCCCATTGCACCTACAAGAGAATGCCATAAATATGCCAAAGAGAGATGCACAGAGTCATACTGCTAAAATCGTTTCGGACAAAGCCACGAAGCCGCAGTAGCCGATCTTGAGTCTGCAGAACCTATCGATCCTGCAAGGGATTTCATGAAAGAGATAATAGATATGCCAAAGGCCTGAGGCATGGAATTATACCGATGGCTCATTGCAGTATAAAGACAAAATCAACCAGAGAAAAAAATAATGAAATATGTGAATTATTTCTAGCCCAGCTTACCCTTATTACTCTAGCCTTAATTTAGTAGTATCGCTCCCCATAGAGATGTCCGGTATTTCACCTATAAAGAGTGTTATTAAGTACGGTCTTTGTGTAAAAATCAGAACATGGTTATTATTACTTCATGGTACTTTCGAAACGATCTTAAGTTACACGGGAAGTCAGACTTTTCGGCTAAACCAGTTGCAGTTCCAAATTCCCCTGCACCAAAAGTGGCAACATGAACTGAAACTGTGTAACTATTCTTGTCAGCCGTCTCTGCTCCAATTCTGTAAAAAGCTATTTCAATCCCAAAATATTCTCATTAACGTCATATGCACTGTACATGTATTTCCTTTGATCACCTTAATCTTAACATTTTGTAACCAATTATTATGTGGGCCTTTGATCTTGAATATATTAAACTTTAATGAATTAGAATAAAAAAAGCAAATTCATCCCTTTCCTTCCTGACTTCCACAACATAAATCACCCAGCCTAATAGTATGTTCAGCATTTTCATTTTTACACTACTAAAAGAAAATGTACAGCTCACACAATGAATTGATCCATTACCTCTTGCTTGATCTATGATGTACGTCTATTTCTGTCCAATTTACCTACTAATTCTAAACATGAAATAAGTAAAATCGATCCAAATGTACGAACATATCAACTTCTGGCAGTATTCCATAACGAGCTTTGGACACCTACTGTCCGTATTAATTACGTTTATACTGACGTTTTATGAATATTTGCCTGAACATTTATACTGTCTACATGCTTATTGATCTCCATGTAATTGTTTAACACATGTTATATCATGAAGCTGTACCCCTGACATAAACAACAAGTGACCAGAAATGACTCTGGCCCCAAAATATGTGGATTGCAGTGAATAAATACACTCACTGGTATGATTTCAGTGTCATAGCGAGCCGCGTCTTTCAAATAAACACCTTCATCGGTTTGTCTCAATTTACTTTCATCCATCCTGAAAATGAAATCATATCAAATAAGGCTCTCAGGTTTACTAATTACAAAATTCCAACTGTTCCCAACAAAATGACATTGGTTGCAACAGTGGCGACCATATTTAAGACACGAATACACATAACGAAAGGTGACTATTGGCGTGTTATCGCCTGTATGGGTCCGATTAGGAGTACGTCCCCAGCACCCTTTTCGTAAGGAGATGACAACACTAGACCAGGGGGTCAGGCTCGGTTAATTATGTTGATTGCTCTGAGCTATTCCAAAGATGCTGCAACGTATTTTGCGATGAAGATTTCCAAATTGGTTGGTTGGTTTGTTGTTTAAAGCCGCCCTCAGCAATGTTCCAGCTATGTGACGGCGGACTGTAAATGATTGAGCCTGGGTCAGACAATCCAGTGATTGACATCATGAGCATCGATCCACGCAATTTGGATAGATGACATGCATCAACCAAGTCAGCGAGTCTGACCACCCGATCCCGTTAGTCGCCTCTTACGACAAGCATAGTCGTGCCGTTCAAGGCCTTAGTAAAGGATTAACAAAATGTTATGGCACATTTCCATGTTTGATGCTTCAGTAACAAAACTGATGTCTGACACTTCGTCCTCCATTGCAAAAAGGCTCAGTGATATTGTGATCATTTAAGACAGCCATTATATAGTTTGATTATTGCTGAGCACAGCTATTAAATACAACGCAAGCAAGACATATACATACTTACTTGAACCCTTTCCAAAAAGAATGTCCACTCTTTGTTAGATCATCAAATCCATACACCGGAGCACCACAGATATTCACCAAAGCCTTCACCTATTGAGAGAATTGCATCTGTTATGGTTGGGAAAACTGGTATTGAATGCAGACAATACACGTTAGAGAGGACATGCCTGATAGACACACCTATTTCAAATCTGTATCAACTATACTTTGACTTTTCATTGTTAAATCAAGTTCACCTGATCAGTGGCCATGCCAAGCAGGAAGGCCAGTTCACCTCCCTTTGAGGTACCGACCACACCGATACCTCCAGCCTGGACATAGGGAAGAGAGGCCAGCCAGTCCACAGCATCCTGAACAAAACATCAATATTTTTTCATCCAGAGATCTCAAGAGGCAGTGATCCCTTAATGAGGCTGAAGATATTTCTCCTTCTTAGGGGGGCTTGTACATGTATTGACAATAGTGATTTGTTCCAGAAAAGACTGTGATACATCATTTTGTTTGCAGGGATACATCATTTTGTTTGCAGGACATGCTGAATAGCTATGTATTAAGTTAAATTGTAAGTACATAGTTAAATATTATCAGGCAAATACCGTTTGATGGATGTGGTTATAAGCCCAACATTTCTAGAATTGAGATTCAAGATTCATTATCTTCAGAATTCATAGTTTTATTTTTTAAAGTTTCCATGCTCTATGAGGTAACGTAATTGTCCATGTACATAATAAAACATATTCAGGGTACGAACATCTTTTATAGTAATATGCCTACATTCCTTGTACGTAACAATATTTAAGCATATTCAAGATAGAGCAACTTACAAGAAAGTATTCAAAGTCAATGTCAGCCAATGAAGTAGGCAGATCATCATATCTGACGTAAGCAAGAGCAAAGCAAGCAAAGCCTCTAGAAGCCAACAAGGCAGCACGGAACTCCGCAAGACCTCCCGCTGAACCAAACATGTCGAGCACTCCAGGAAATGGCCCTTCACCTGTACACAATCAATGATGTAATATAAGCTGTGCAATTTGTTATAATTAAATTGCGTCCTTTACAATGTTCTACTAACCAAAAAACTAATTCAAAATGTTTATTATATCTGAGATGTGAATCTTTCCAAAGACCCGCTTTGTTACACACTATTTATACAGGTTTATACTGATATTTGTTACAGCCATATATCAATTAAAGGAATCCTTGTATTTTCAAAAAGGCGAAACTTTACGCATACGTGTTCGAACCATGGGGTCTTACCTGCAGGCAAGAAGAGAGTTCCTCTCAGAGAACCTTCACGCATGACAATCCTCCTCACAGAACCGTGTTTGTACCAGCGTTGTACCTCGTCTGTAACCAGCACCACTGTCGTGAGCTGCTGGAGGTCAGCAAAGGGGATGTGGTCATCTATGACTGATAGTCTGAAGACCAGAGGTGTTGTCACGTCTACCTTCCTGAGAAGCGCGGCCTTTGACATTCCTGGGACAGGCTTCATACTCCAGAACAGGCCCATACTGTCAATACCTGAATGAAAAGAGATACATAGACAAACATGACATTTGATATTTTTGCAAAGTTACATTTCAATGACACCGCAAAGCAAATATGCCTTAACAAGGCAAATCACAACTTTTTCATAATTTTTATAAGGGAAACACTATTTTTCAGGGCATTATCATTTGCAGAAGCTCGAGTTCTTCGATTAACTGCCCGACGAAAGAGGGCAGTTGAAAAGACCGAGGGCTTCTGCAAATGATAATGCACTGAAAATAGCGTGACCGTTATTATAGCTAAAATGGATGGAATTTGATTTGGAATTTGTTATCAAATAAAAAGAAACAACGATATCTGTTTTGAAACACTTACTGCAATCAACACGAATGTCACTGACCCACTTTTGCTATGGAAACTTTATAGAACAAACCAGATGACGTCACTATTGTACGTGATGTCACCTATCCCTATCCTATGACGTCACCTAACAAAGGCATGATAATGGCCCGTACTCAAGCAATATGAGGGCATTATCAAGTTACAGTGGCCCGCTCATTTTTGATAACATGCAGGCGGTTTAATGATAATTCTATCCAATTTAGCTATAGTACAATATATATTTTGTTCGTATAGTTTTTTTTGGTTTATAACAATGTCAATTATTGTCAGTGCGAGTGAGTGGTTCAGTTACGCTTAACGTTACATAGGCAGTATTTCAGGCACATCGTGATGAGACCAATTTATATATCAAGACTAAAGGCATTTTGAGTTCATAAAAACCCGTCGACAATAGTCAGTAAAACAACTAGAGTATAATAGATTTATCTTCATAACTGGCATTTATTCCTAAAATATGACTATTCATAATACCCCATCATAGAAATGGCCTATAAATTACCAGCAACCAAAGTCAGGGCACCACACTAGTGTTCATGGGGACTTACGGTACTTCTGCTACCTACGTGGTACCCCAGCAGGACATACACCATCCCTCTGGCCACTGGCAGTTGTCAGATAATTAAGCCAACCAGTCAAAATCGACAAGTATTCTACGATTAAAATCACGGAGATGTGAAAAATACTTTGATTACTGACGTACTCTCTCAGGGGCCAATTGTTTTACATTACTTCAACCCCCTTTGAAGGTACAGCAACTAAAAATCTCAGCTATTAATTCATTCCCAAAGTCATCTACTTTTTAAAATAAATCTTTTTTAAAAAATAAAAATTTGGACCCGTGAAGATTCCGGGGTAGAATAGGTCTTCAGCAACCCATGCTTGCAGTAAAAGGCGACTATGCTTGTCGTAAAAGGCGACTAACGGGATCGGGTGGTCAGGCCCGCTGACTTGGTTGATACATGTCATCGATCCCAATTGCGTGGATCGATGCTCATGATGTCAATCACTGGATTCTGTCATCAAAAGGGATACAGAATGGAGGATCCTCACTTTTTAATTAATATCAATGGGTATCACGACTTTGGTCAATGTGACATCATCGCAAAACAACCTCGTCTTGTCTTGACTGGCAACCCAAGTACATGTAGGTGTAAGCTTATTTGGGTGTAAGTACCCACTTGGGTGTTTCATTTTTTCTGCTTCAAAATACAGACCTGTTCCTTGATGCATTGTTTAAAATCACTGGAGGGAATTGAGAAATGAGAGACTGATTTATCACGAGCTGCTTTAGCTGCAGCATCAGCTCGTGTGTTACCAGTAATACCAATGGTGAAACCTTTCAATTTGGAAATCAGCTATGAAATATGTAATGTGTTATGCAGAATGCTGAAAACGTATGAATGTTTACAGTACAGTAAATGTTACAGGACTTTGACAATACAATAAAATCTCTAACTGTGACTGACAGGGGCATATATGATGCCTGAAAGGTGATAGGCGGATGCCTGTACATGAATCACTGTGCTTCTTAAGAATCGTTAGAGCCTATTTTTACAGCAACCCATTGAAGTAAATGAAGTAGCATTGGCACTTATTTACCTCTGTATGATCCTCCCAATGACGCATGTTGAGCAATATCGACCTGTCCTTGTTGGTCTGCCAGGAAATGGCCACATGAGCTGAACACTGCCTTTCCTTCTTCCACCCATGCCTGTACTGTCACTCGCTGTAGTGGACAAAGGTCAGTAACTGTGATGGAGATTTTCTCGTCAACCAGTGCCACCTTTGGACTTATGTTTAGACAAACCATTCTGGAATATATTTGGCCTTTGCTGGTGATGTCTCTCGTAAGCTTCTGCATATGTATAACAGAAAGTCATGAAAGTTAAATTTTTAACTGAACATATATTATCATCTTATTGCCAGGGGCGGTCGCGTCGCCTAGTGCTTAAAGCGTTCACTCGTCACGGCGAAGACCCGGGTCCGATCCCCGACATGGATACAATTTGTGATGCCCGTTTCTGGTGTCTCCCGCCGTGATATTGCTGAAATATTGCTAAAAGCGGTGTAAAAACATACTCACTCACTCACTCACACATCTTATTTCCTGAATTTACAATCACCAGTGCCCTCCACACCGCACATGTACAAACAAGGTTTTATAACTTCTTCGCAGTTCAGATTTCCCATTTTAAATTCCTATAAAACCTAATTGATAAACACGGATCTCACCACAAAGACGTACGTTATCTTTGGCAGCGACTGGTGAACGAGAAGCTGAATCTCGACAGAGACCATGCCATAGATACATAATTCAAACAAAACACACTTTTATGAGACAGTGTTGCAAATAACCATGGCAACGGTTAAGTGGATTTGCTGAATTACCATAGTTCGAGTGTAACATGTGTTGTCACTAAACAAGACTCGCATTTTCGAGTTTGTCACATCAGTGACCAAGATTATGTGACCGTGTATTTTCAGGTGAACATTTGACCTGGATAAGGAGGCGTTTGTGACGGGTGCCACCGGATAGGGCAGGATACGGTCACCTTGTCGCGAAGCCATGGTGTCATCAAAATTTGAGAGTGATTCATAAACCTGTGCTTATGGCATAGTCGGAACAATACAATGGGCTTTGCTGGTAGCAAATATTTCTTACAATTATGAAAAGGGTTTTTATAGCTTTCGTTCACATTCAGTTGCGTTCCAGCATTGTGGTCTTTATACAGCCGTAAGTGAACAAAGCTGTGCCATATGGTGTCTATTTAATACACGACGACGTGGTGTTTTATTCCACCTACGGGTTTGAGGCTGGTGATGAGTTACAGCTTTATTACAACTAGGGGTTTGACGATGTGGCATATGGTGTCTGTTTAATAAATGGCGCTGAGATGAGTTACAGCTTTATTCCAACTCGGGGTTAGACGATGTGACATATGGTATCTGTTTAATCAATGGCGCGGAGGTAATTTACAGATCTATTCCACGAATTGGTCCACGTGGACTGTTTTGTCCCAGGACAGTAAATTGTCCAGCTGTAGATGACTGATTAATTGTTTGTTTTTGAACGCCATACTCAGCAATATTCAAGCTATATGACGGACGCATGACGTTTATAAGGTTCATTGGTTGTGTGGGGTTAGAGCGGTCTTATTCCAACTGCTTATGGGGATTAGAATAGGACCAGCTAGACTTATCCTCACGGATAAATCAAAACCAAAAGGAGAAACCAAAAGGCATATGCAACACATTAAGGTAAGATGACACTCTGTGGAGCTGTTTCAGCAGTTTAATCAATACAGTCAAGCTTGACCGCGATACTTTCAGCACAAAGGATACAAACCAGAGGATCCTCACTTTTCCAGAAATATTCCTCTGAATATCTGCTGTGGCCAATACATCATCGCATAATGACCTCTTCACACCAGGACTGAGAACCGAAGTACGTGTAACCGATAGTTGGTTTAATTTCCTATAACTTAATGATATCTACTTGGGTGTCCCAATTCTTCTGCATAAGATCGCGGATGCACGGATAAAGTATCTAATCATGGGTTAATAATCATTGTAAGGGATTAGAAGTGGTGTCACAGATGTACATGTGTTGAGTCGATATTTGTGTTACCACTGGTTCCGACATGACTTGGAAACCATCATAAGATGTCATATTGGCCAGTAGCAGGATCGTTACTTAATTCTACAATTTCAAGTAAAAGTGGATGTTTACATGCCATATTTTAATAGTCTGAAGGCACGAAAGATAATTTTAAAACAAATTGAATGTCTTGTGTATGAGTAGATTGGTTATTGATATATTTTGATGATGTTAAAATGGCGTTTGTTTCAACCACAATAATTTAACAATAATATAAAGTATATTAAGTGCAGTACAGATCACACAGAACTTAAAATATTGCTATGAACTCTTTATATCCTTGAAATAATTGTCTCTCTCTTTTTTAGCTAAGAATAGTTTGCAAGATATTTTAGTAAAGGGGTGTTACAACATAGTAACTGTCTGAATTTCTCTTGGCTAGGGAATTCACAATAATATAACGGAAGTATATTATGTCTGGGGTCAGAATAAAAGAGGCATTCTAAACAAAAGTGGTATCCAGTTTCTATTTGAGGTACTACCTGAGGCATAACCGTTAATTCCTTGGTATATCATATTTTCTTCCACTTTCTAACATAATAGAATGGCTAGAGAAAAATAATCGTACAGGAGATTTTTCTAAGTAATGCTTCATCAATACGTTTAATGCAAGCTCCAAAGCTAAAAGGTTCTCGTTTTGAACAGTACAATGCTAAATTAGATGAAATTTTCTAATCTACCATTAATACGTTGGTTTGCAATATCGATACATCGCTGCTTAAAGAAAGACATAAATACAACATCATTCCAAACACCAAACCCCACCGAAAACATGAATACGGGAGATATTTAACATTAGAGGCCCAATATGTTTTATCTGACTCTGCTCTTAAATACAAAACACGATATGTCCGTTTAAGTATAACATTATCTACTTGTTACATTAATCTCAACCAATATTCATTATTTTCACACAGTGTGCAACCTTAATAGAAGACATGTTGGAAATTCGGGTGATTGTTGTATTGTTGTGAGCTTGACCGTCATGCTATTGTTCTTTGGGTGATTGTTGTTGTGATGCATATAGTCGCTGGGATTTATCTTGTAGGTGGGGTGGTATTTGCAGTTCAATTGAGGTCTGTGGAAATGCAGTTTGTTGATTGGGGGATTTGGTGGCTGCAGCTTTTTCACAAGTGTCAACTGGTAGTTGTCATCCTCAGAATCGGGAGGTTTTTATACAAATCCTTATCAATTTGAAGTTTGTCATACCTCAACATTGCAAAGTCATTGTCTTCTCTGGTTTTATTGCCGCCTCCGTGGTCTTGTGGTAGAGCGTCCGCCCGGAGAGCGGAAGGTCCGGGGTTCGATCCACGGCCGCGTCATACCAAAAGACGTTAAAAGATGGTACTTGTTGTTACCCTGTCTGGCGCTCGGCATTAAGGGGCTAAAACAAGGACTGGTCGGCTCGGAGTCAGTATACTGTGTCTGAGTGGGGTATTCATGTTAAACTGCGGCATGGTATCTCAGTGAGCTAGCACTATAAATCGGCATCAGTCCGGACTAGTACAAGCAGCCACACACAAACACACACACGTGCATGCACGTCGCTATATAAGTGCAATAATCTTGGACGCGACGTTAAACTCAATTTCACCTCACCTCACCTCTGGTTTTATCAAGGAATGGTTTTATTTTGTAGCGTGTTTGTCTCACACCATCAGTAAAGTCATGATATATTCGGATGTTATGCCCTTTCAGATTCTTTGCTGCACTCATAACAGATGACTTGTGTTTTTGATGAGCAAATGTCACAAGAATAGGTCATGGTACTAGTGTTTTGGAAGCAATCTAGTGAAACACTTTCTTTTTACATTCATTGTGTCACAAATCTTTTTACATGATTCTCGGGAGGTTTTTGACATTATGGAATAGTTTATTGCTTTGTTTTTCTAGAGTGTCAATTCTGCGCATCATGTGTTTTACCAGTTTTTTCAGTTCACAGTTTTCAATAGCAATATTTTGAATATCCTGGTCAATATCGAATATTTTTAAGGATAGTTTACCAAAGTTACCAATATGAGCTCATGTTGTTGCAGATCTAATTCTGATTTAGAGCTAAATGATTTTTGTATGTCCCTTTATTTAAAGTTTCACTAGACCTCCCTTGTGGGACCCCCTCATCTTGTTTATAATGATCAGACATGGTTGAACCCACTCGAACTTGAAATTGCCTCTCTGTTAAAAACTGTAACAAGACATGAGATAAACGACTTTTCGAGTCAAAATCATGTTAATCCTTGAAAATACCATACTTCCAGATAGTATTGTATGCTTTCTAAAAGAAAATTTAAACTACGTGTTGTTTATTTACTATAGCATTTTTGACAAAGTATTCTAGTTTTACTGAATGATCAAGGGTACGTTTTTCACGGAAACCACATTAAATGTTTTTAAATAGTTTAGTGGTTTACAAATACCACTATAATTCATGGTCCCGGTCAGATTTTCGTGTTTTTGCTTTGTGGCCCCGCTTTTCATCTTAGACATAATTGAGGCAAATGCTTTTTCAATACCTGACAGTAGCTATTATCATCACCTGCTGCAGAATCATCAGCTTGCTCGAGAGAGGCATGTAACTCATGTAATGAAAATATTTCCTTTACCGTTATTTGAATCATAATTAACTGTTTTCTTTTTTCTGTTGTTTCTGATATCTCTGAAACTCAGGGACATAATTTGACGATGAAGAATTCTTGCAAGAGTTTAGATTTATGATTTCTTAATTTGTCACCTTTTTCAGATGTTGTACAGTCGAATTTTAACCTTTACTCTTTTTCAACCATGTTCCATACCTTGGACATGGATGTGAGTGAATCAATTTTCGTAGACATAGTTCCTCCAACAGTGGAGTATATTTTGTTTTCAAGCACGTCGTGATTGAGCACTAATAACATTATTTAAGTTATGAATTGTAAGATGTTTGCGGAAATATGTTTCTGCTTTCTTTGTACACTTTCTTAGTGAGATTAGTTCGGTCAGAAATATTATATAGCTGACCCGAAAACAACCAGATGGAATCGGGGATTTTCTGAAATTGTCTGGTTTTAGTTTTTTAGCACAATATATTCGATACAAGGGCCAATTTCCCATAATTAGTCTGAGGATGGGTGCATCATCCGGTTTCACCTTTTTTTAGGACAGTATGTAAGTGATCACTTCCTGAGAGGTCATCATACAGAGAAAATTCAAATTCACTGTAAACGGTTCATTCTGCGACAGACAGGTTATGGGCAGAATAAGTTCAAGTTGCAGGATGAATATGGGTTCTTGAATCATCATTAAAAAGACATATATTATTATCAGAAATATATTCTTAAATGACTTTCCCCTTATTGTTTGCATTGCACTTCTCCACAGAGGGTTATGCCCATTTTAATCGCCCATGATGATGCAGGGCTTTTGGAGCTGATCACACAGATTCTGAAGAACAGACTCTCAAGTGCAAATGAAGGTGGAATATATATAGAGCTCAAATTTTAATGCAATGTTCGATATACGGCGGATAGCAACAGCTTTAAAATGAAGCTTTGGATAAACACAAATAGGAATGACGTTCTGCCTGAATAAAATAGTAGAGCCACCAGTTGCTTTATCAGCCGGAGGAAGAAAAGAAAGATAACAGTTGTACTGACTAAGGTCAAATGTATATGTATGTTCATGTCTCTTGGAGAACAGATTGCATTAATAAGTGTAACCCATTACAATTGTTCCAGAAACCTTTGCAATTCCACTGAATTAGATGTTTTGTGTTGCTCATTAAGGTGGAGTAACAGGGAATCGACAAGTGGCCTCTTGTACGACACTCGTTCAGTTTGATTTTTCTTTTTTTTGAGTTTCAACAGTATTTATTGCTGTAGCTTTTGAGCGTGGTTTCATATAGATGCTTCTTGCATTGGTATTGGAGCTGTAACTTTGTTTCATGTTGGTTAGTTTTTATTTCAGAAGGGTCCTGCAAGTAGAACAGCCAACACAGTTGATGTCATCACATTGATTCTGCCCATCAAAAGAGCTGCCCATCATAATTTCCTAGTTTCCACGACAAGGTACTGAGGCCAAGTATCCCTCTCGGAATACAATAACCTGGTCACTAGTTTTGATTTGTGTGCTTACCAGTGATTGCATTTATTGTGGTTCTGCAAAACTGGTCCCTGTCCGCCATGGAGCGCCAACAAGAGCGATGCCACATATAAGTAGCATTCCAGCAAACTGACATCAAAGGGATACATGAATGTTATACTCCAGAGGATCAACCAGATTGGCTCATGAGCCTTCTGAGTATATTCTCTAGGTAAGTATCTAACTTTATGAACGGAAGACTATTCGAAACGAACTGAGGCAAGCCTTATAAAAAAACCGCAATATACCACCTATCTAGGTGAAGTCAGGGTCGAAATAGTGTATCGAGCAAAGGAACACTATTCCAGGGTCCAATGCACTAAACCATCAGACGCCCTTCCTCTACCTGTAAAGGGGCACAACTCGTGGCAAACGGGTTGACCAATTTAGTCACGGCCAGTAATGGGGTGCTGAGGACATTTTCTACCCCGGGGCCCCAAGGCCCACTTGAATAGATACTTGCAAAAAGCATATATGCTACATACATGTAGACCTGTGAATATCAGGGGTAGAATAGGTCTTGAGCAAAACATGCTTGCCGTAAAAGTCAACTATGCTTGTCGTAAGAGGCGACTAAAGGGATCGTGTGGTCAGGTTCGCATGTCATCGATTCAATTGTGTGGATCGATGCTCGTGATATTAATCACTGGATTATATCTATTGGATATATATAAGGTAAAAACATGCAGCTTTTACGATTAACAACTTTTGTGTTGTTTGTAACGACGTTTCAGGAATACGCATTGTGCGTTTATCATTCACGCGATGAAGGGGCAAGAAATAGACTTGAAACATCAAAACAAACACTAAAACAATTTTTCCCCGTAAATGAATCATGTCCAGGTATTTGTGGGGAACTTAAAATGCTTTCACCATTGGAGCCAAAAGAATATCCAGTTGATCTTTCTTGACTTTATTAAGAGGAGGTAGTGTGTTGACACGTCCCTAGATGCGCGGGATTTATAATCACCGATAACGGGGTAGCATGCTGTTTAACACTCCATCCAACCATCCATCCATCCATCCATACATTCATGACTTTGTGCAACGCCTGGTCCATTCCATGAGACGAAGATGTGTTGCCTGCATCGCAACCAGAGGTGGACACACACGCTATTGATTTGTAAATTGACATTTTGGCATGTTCATGTTTTATTTATGAAATCACGCATTTTCTGAAGGCAGTATGGCAAATTAAACCTTTTGAGCACTTACAGGACTCTTTTATCTGTTGCAAACCGAAATTGTTTCAGATTTGGTAGAAAACATAAATTTGCATTAAATCTTATTCAATGTCACAGGAACTTTTGTTGTTCAGTATATCATTTTCAAGAAAATTGTTAATTAGCTAATAAGGAGAGTATAATCTACCTGATTTTGGTAGTAATATTTCATAATAGATAACTGAATAGTACCTACCATATGCTATACAAACACCATGTTCCTGTGGATTTGTTGATCTGACGTGAAACAACATAACATTATTGCTGCTAATAGCCTCACAACTTGAATACTTGGCTTTGATAATTGTTTCTTGTGAAACTGGCTTCTAAATAAGGGTTTATAAAGCATTAATTTGTTTTACAATGAAACTACCACTAAACTCTTCTATTCAAAATAGTTGTAATATTTCCCCTGTGATTTTTCCCTCGGCAAATTTGTGAAGTTTTTCAGTGTACTTTCCTGTGACTTTCTTTCTGATCTCCACTTTATTGTATCTTATAACTTTTATTAGAACGACATTTAGTTCCCTCGTGCGATCAGAAAAGGTCAGACGTCAAAGGTTTCTACGCGATATGTTTCTGAAGGAAGTGGAGAAGTCTTCTCCAAGCGTCCTCCTGGGCGGCAGCATGAGCTTCAGGATGTCCTCCCGTCACAATTGTCATGCCTGTTGGGGAAGCACATACACAGTTAAGTCTGGTATGCCTGTCATTGAGAAATTGCTCACGATGTAAAATACATGCTTACCAGTGTACCTGTTTAAGTGTGTGAGAGCGCTAAAATTTAACGCCACATGGCAATATCATGACGAGAACAATTTATGCATGAATAATAAAGGCATTCTGACCACTTAAAAACCTACCAACAAAGGACAGTAAAAGAAATAGAGTATCACTGATTTATATTAAACCCAGCATAAGAACCATGGCGATATATTACTGTATATAACAAAACAACATACAAACGGGCAATAGAGCATCAGCAACCAAAGTTAGGCCACCACACTAGGTGGGACCAGTGGGACTTACCATACCTCTGCTACGTAAATGCTTCTCTAGCAGGATTTGCACAATCCCTTGGTGATTATGGACTAGGTTTAGCCAGAGATTAGACAAAGACACATTCTTCGATAAAAAAACATTGAAAGACATTACAGTGCTGTGAATGAGGTGGGCTTACAGGGATACAAATTATTTTACGCTACTTCAACCCCCACCAAGGGCATGCCCACTAACAATCTCAGTTGATAATCATATTCCACCAATTCAAAATTTATCAACTTTTATTAAAAAAAAGTGATTAAGGGAGCAATTATCTGATTAAAAGAGTCTTTATGGATGAAATATTTATCCCTTTTGATGGAAAAAATCAATACGACACTGCTGGCCGTGATTCTTTCATCACAAGGGATACCGAATGGAGGATCCTCAACTTTTATTAAGCATTGATGGGTTTATCTACTATGGCCAATAAGACATCGTCGTGTAAATCTGGACTGACATCCGTACCAGGTGTAACCGGTATTTGGTTTCATGTAACTTATTTATACCTACATGCTTGTCCCACGTCTTTTGCATGAAATCTCGGATGTAACATCTAATCACATGTTTATAATCATTGTATGGGATAAGAAGTGGTAATCATTTTTGTTGTTGAGTACTGTTTTTGCTGCGTCATCAGCCATTGTGTTACCGTTTATGCCCACATGACTGGGCAACGAACAAAAGACGATGCCGTATTGGCCGGTTGAAATATGACTGTAAAGTTCTAAAATATCTAAAATGACTGGATAAGTCCAAGATCATTATACAGTGCCTGAAGACAAGACAGAGAATCAGAAAAGACGATAAACTGTTTACATGCAGACTGTCGTTGAACGTTCACCAAGGCTGTAAGTATATCGTTGGCCTCAGCAGTGAAAAAAGAGCTATTGTCTGGTACTCTGGATAGTATAATTTTTTGTCCAACGAAAGTGTCACTAGCTACTTTGCCACCGTCCTTGGATCCATCAGTAAAGATTGAACGATGAGTGTCGCATTCATTAATTTTACATATTCCTGTTGGAATACTAATTGATTTATAACAGATTGTATAAAGCGTGTTGGGGAAATGTCTACTTCTGGCCAGACCAGGGAGGAGTAGACAAAGGCCGATATGGAGAGATTTATATAGATCTAGATTAGCAGAGCTCTATAATATGGGACTTGATCAGAATTCCAAGTGGTTCCTGAAAGAGTGGGGATAGATTGGATGAAAATCCGAGACATAAGCTGGATTGGAAGGATCGGTATGTAATTTAGTGACATATTTAAGAGACAATTTAGTGTGAGGGTTCATCGGCCTAAATACAGAGGCTGTTTACGAAAGGCAACAAGGCAGTCTTAGTCTTTGATGGTGGATTGACTCTTGTATTTTTAAATTACTCTTGCAAGGCCCAGCATACACGATGGTGCCATAGTCCATTATTAGCGGCTTAATGATTTATATATGTAAAGGAGGGTTGTCTGATCCCCTCCCCACTTTGAATTTGAGACGACTTTCAACAACTCTAGGGACTTCAGGCATTTTTCCTTCGACATTTATATGTGGCCAAAACGTCAAATAGTTGCCAAATTTTGCCAGCTAAAATGAGTTCGGAGTCTTGATGGGGTTTATATTTTGACAGAAATGTATACAATTGGTCTTGGTCATTGAACATTTAAAGCTATTTTCAAGTGACCATTGAAGAATTTTATTAAGAAACAACTGTCATTGTCTTTCAATGATTTGCATATGTTTACCACAACATGAAATATTACAATCATCCACAAACAATGAGGCATTTAATACTTTTGATAGACTATATATTTTTATACTGAACAATGTGACAGACACAATACTGTCTTGTTAATAAACCCTGATCCTGATTATAATGATCTAACACGAACTTGAAATTGCCTGTCTGCTACATCAAATGAGGCAAGCATCCTCTCAAACAAAAATCATGAAAATCTTTCGAAATGCTTCCAAGTGGTATCACAAGCTTTTTCAAAATCGAAAAAGATTGATGTTTGTTGACAATATCATTTTAATGCATTATTCTAAAGAATCAGTGAGTGAGTGAGTTGGGTCTATAACGCCGTTTTTAACAGTATTCCAGTTATATCACGGCGCGTCAGCTTAATTTGGGAGGGAAGCCCGAAATGATGATGTCTCAGACGTTTACCACTTCGGTGAAACCCACGAGCACGGGTATGGTGCTGACAAACCTAGAAACATAATCGGGCTGAACAGGGATTCGAACCCACAATCATAGGTATCTGGCGTGCCCAAGGGACGCAACTCTGCACAGCGAATCGCAACGACTGGGCCACCCGTGCCCCCCTAAACGAATCAGATAATCAATTGTACTTCGCTTTTTTACGGAAACCGCACTGGATATCCCTGAATGATTGATGTCCCAATGTCCCATTGTCAAAATATCATAAAAATATTCAGCAACATTTCGAGGCAAGATTCAGGCAAGCATTTTAAGACCTGATAATAGATATCATCAGCTCCTGTTGCAGGATCATGAGCTTGGGCTAAGGCTGTATGTAGCTCAAGTAGTGACAATACCTCATTATAATCTTCGCCATTGTCAAAATGAATATTCACTTTTTCTCTCTCTGGTTGTTTTTGATATTTCTGAAACTTTGGTTTATACCTAGATGAAAAAGAATGTTTAGCTTGTAGAAGTACAATGTTAAAGAACTTTCCCTTTATTATAAGTATAGGAACATCCCAATTGATGGTCATGTCCATTAAGATCACCCGTAATGATAAAGGGCTTAGAGTGCGTGTCAAATAAATCCTGAAGATCAGACTCCGGAAGATTTGAAAATGGAGAAATATACAAGGAACACAGAGTGAATGTTATTGGTCAAGTGAGACGTACAGCAACAGCATGAAGGGCGTAGTTAAGAGGAACAGGGCTGTGGATCTTGCCCTGCTTAACCAAATTGGAAGAGCCTCCAGTGACTTTATCACCTGAAGGTGAAAAATAATGGTAAGAATTGTACGGACACATTTCAAATATATCCTAAGATATATTTCTGTTAACTAAATGCTGATGCTTTTAGATATTATGCTAATAATTGTATCTCATTAAAATTGTTCCTAATTATAAGTCGTCTGAAATTCAACTGAATTCGTAAATTAGGAGATTGGCTCATGGTGGTTCTGTAGGTGATCTTTGAGGAGAATGTGAACAATTCAACATGTATATCAACTTCAACAGCTTGTTGATCAACCCCAGGTTGTTAGTGACTCACTGTTTGAGAGGAAGATGTTGCCACATTGGATTGACCGTCAGAATGAGTATGCGTGGTAACAGTTAGAACTGGTTGTTCTGAGTGGATTGGGGACGTACACCTCCACTCCGATTGAAGAGAGCCAGGTTTCATTGATATGGGGACAGTACACGAAGCAAAATGAATGAAATACGTGCTGCGCTTTTCCATTCTACCACCTTGTTTATTTAAAGTGAAGTGCTTGATAGAAGTAACATTTTGATTTGTAAGTTCATCAACTATCTCCTCCTCTGAAATGTCCGCCAGACAAATGGCTCTGTCTCTAACAATGCCTCTGCTGGAGTTGAGTGTTTTGAGCCTGATTAAATATGTTGCATACTTCAGGGTGTGAACACAATTCACACTGATGATGATAGAAAAGGAAGCCTGTTAATTATATCAATGAGAGAAATGAACAGGCCTTTTTGTTCCTGATGTATAATATATCTTATTTTGTATGATACATGGTTGATATGTCACCGAGGGACATGTGTGAGTGAGTGAATATGACTTTACGCTGCACTATTCCAGCCATATCATAACAGGAGACATCAAGAATGGACTCCACACACTGAACCAATGTCATGGGAAAATAAACGTTATAAAGTTGGGAAACAGTTTGCCGTCCCTAGTGCGTTTCGTTGCTGTAACCACCTCTGAACTTCTAACATATTACCTATCGTGTATACAGGGATGCTTGTGTTAATAAACTGCGAATCCCTTTTCAATCCAATATAATTTGCGATAAGGGTTACTCAACTTGAGCAATTGGACATTATATCTCGGACCAATAGCTTTACCAAGACCCAGCTTCAAAGTAAACAATACAGACACCAGATCTTCGGACAACGTCTTCAACAAGACCAAGATTCAAAATAAACATATCTTGGGCCAGTTGGTTTACATGATCAATGTTATAATTATATGGTCAAGAGTTTTCAAAGGATATCCTGGAAATGTTCAAACATCTTGTTACTTCGAAAAACAAAGCAAAGGAGTGGTTTCATTTTTACAAAATCTTTAGGTGTCGCCATGTACATGGTGATGCTTGTTTACTCACCAAGCACTGGGTGGTACAGCGTTCTGTACAGAGGCATATAGGGAGGTTCGATGAGGTGACCTGCTCCTGGATAGGTGACAAATTCAATGGTCTTCCTTTTCTCTTTGGGGCAAGTCTTCATGAATATGTTAGCATGGTCAGTTTTCCATGTACCATCATCGTCACCAAGAAGGTACAGTATTTGGGCATTATTCTTCCATGCCTGTAGATATACATTATCACATTACCTTGACGTTAAGTACAATGAATACATTTAACTCCCTGGAAAATCAAAAACACAAATTGTTATAAAAATACTAAATCTGAATAATAAGCATTCCCATGACTGTTCTTATGTCATTTGCACACATATTATTGAAATTTGGAATTATTCTCCCTGGTGGCTCTGGGGAATTAGGGCGGTCGGGTAGACTAGTGGTTACAGCGTTCGCCCGTCACGCTGAAGACCCGGGTTCAATTCCCGATATGGGTGCAATGCGTGAAGCCCACTTCTGGTGTCCCCGGCCCCGTCGTGATATTGCTGGAATATTGCTAAAAGCGGCATAAAACTAAAAACACTCACTCACTCTGGTGAATTTATTTGGCAAATGTCATGACACAAGTTTGAGCGAGTCTGGTTAGACACATTATGTTTCGAACAGCATGAGCTTCAGGATGTCCTCCCGTCACAATTGTCATGCCTGTTGGGGAAGCACATACACAGTTAAGTCTGGTATGCCTGTCATTGAGTGAGTGAGTTTGGTTTTGCGCCGCTTTTAGCAATATTCTAGCAATATCACGGCGGGGGACACCGGAAATGGGCTTCACACATTGTACCCATGTCGGGATTCGAACACGGTTCGTGACGAGCGAGCGCTTTAACCACTAGGCTACCCGACCGCCCTCGAACATTATACGAGATAAAAGCCACAAGTGACGCAGGTCGTAGACGTTTAGGAAACCCACCAGAGACAAGCGTTTTCTCCTCTATGAGAAGCTGAATAATATATTTCACCACACATATACTGGCCCTAGCTGAAACATCGGGTTGATGAAAAGAATACTGCAGTACATAGTGAGATGACCAAACTAACCGGAATAACCTCATTGTCATAGCAAGCAGCGTCTTTTAAGTAAACACCTTCATCTGTGTGTTTCAGTTTCGTAGCATCCATCCTGAAGAAAAATCAGTAGAAAATTTTATGGGAAACGAGATGTAACATATATTCATCGACGACTTTATTTACTGTCGTTCAGGGGGACTGCTGGATTTGCATAAATCAATGTGATCAATCGCCCTCGGCATTGTGGGAAAAAGTATATGCACAATTATCATTTTGTGAATCATTGAAGATCGCACTGTCGAAGATCAGGGGAAGGAGGGATATATAAGGAGCACAGTGTAATTATATAAGAGGGATGTGCAGAGTCAGACGAGCAGCAACAGTTGATTTGCATTAAGAGGGGCAGGGTCATGTATGACGCCCTGTCGCACTAAGACAGTAAAGACTCCCATTGCTTTATCTGCCGGCCGTGAAGAACAATGAGACTTTACTGTCTTTAAGAAAACATATCTGTACTTTTAAGGTAGGTTTCTCGAAGACATAGTGCTGATGGTTGACAATCCCGGATCAATATTTGCATCTAGGTAAAAGTATGTCTTAGTCCTCTGCAATTCAATTGCATTATATTGGACAATTGAGTCATGGTGGCTCACTTGGAGATCTTTCAGGTGAATGTGAGGAAGAGCTACTTCTTCACCTGTCCTGTGTGGACAGATTAACCTCCGTATCCAGAGGTCCAAAGACAGTACTTGATTGTTTTCTGTTCAATCTTCTTCTTTCTTTTTTGTAAAATGATCGATGGCTGGTTGTGAAACAGACATAAGAGATTGTGTCTCAGGCTCACTGTCTGCCTGAGATCCAGAACGAGGCTGAGTGACTGGGGATATACTGATTGAAGTTACAGCAACAGGTCATGACGTCAGGTCAGCCTGTCATGTAATAGAGGATGTTGCTACAATGAGTGACTGCAGCAGAGTTTGTAATATTGAAAGGAGTTGAGATCTGAACAATTAACATTTTTTGGGCATCTCAGTGTGATATGTCTTTTTATATTTTGTATTCCAGTCAGCACACAGGGCAGGATGTGGGTCATCACAGTTAGCTCACTCGACATCATTCTCACAGTCAGTGTTTTCGTGTCCGTCACCACAACGATGGCACACCACAGAGTTGTGACAAGATGTTGGCCCATGATTGAACTGCCATTTATAACATCGAAGTGGATTGGGTACATACACCTCCACCCTGAAATAACCAGCTTTAATTGATTGCGGGAGCGACGCAAATATCAAGAGATAAGTGTTAGTATTAGCGATGTCGCCCTACATTTTACTGCGGTGACAGCCTACTCCTCCAAATCTGCAGCAATTTCTTCTTCCGACTTGTTGGTCAGGCAACGAGACCCCCCCCCCCCCCCCCCCCCGCGAACGATGTAGTGAGCTACTACAAATTAAAGGCGGGCGACATTTTTCAACTTTCCACAAACACAAGAAACTCCTTTAGAGAGAGGAACATGTAGAATTTGATAGGTAGATTATCACTAACCTCTATAACCAGGAATGAAGCCCAAGAATCAAAGTTTACAGAAATATTTCCATTTGAGTGATCTATTTAATCTAGATGTCTCTTCAATTGATTTCGAGATTAACCAAATTTTTGTAGTGACATGATGAAAGAAAATCATTCCGCATCCCTGCTCCCCACCCACCACTGAGTGTCAACAACGACAGTTACGAATTGCGCCGGATTTCCAGGGTGCTGACACCAGGGATACAGGGATGTTGTACCCCAGGGAATATCACACGAACAGCTGCAACTGCCTACCAACTCAATGCCAGACTGGTTCGGCTCATGATAAAAAATTGGGACGACACATTTTGAGGGCGACATCATCGGATTGACCCATAAGCCACCGCCTTCTTGCATAAGACACAGGGCAATTTATTACATCGACAATTTGTTGTAATACATTGAGCAAACAAGATATGTAGATACATCACACGCGTGCATACACATTATCATGCACAGGGCTTGGTATGACCAGCCGATTGATAGGATCCGACCCATTCTACTACCTGTCAAAGTGAGGTCAGTGTTCAAGGGGTGTGCTGGGCAAAAGGTTTCCGGATGGTTTCCAGTACAAGTACATGTTTTCCATGCTCAACTGCCTTTGTGGCCTTCAGTATATAATACATTTAAACTTACCTCACCCCTTTCCAATAAATCTGTCCTGATTTCTTCACATCTGAGAACGAATGAAATGGAGGGCCACTGATATTCACCAAAACCTTCACCTGTTATTAAACGCACTTGAAAGTAAGACACCAAGTTGACATTTATTGAGTTATTTTTTATACAAAGTGAATGCAGTGTGTGGAAAAATGACTTTGGAATGTTAGGTTTTACCATGAAAACACAATTCGATATATACTTCAGGCTATTTGAAGAATACTTGACCTTTACTTTGATTCCTTATTGGTTCTGGTAATCGAATGTATCACTGTTATGATTCCTTCTATCATTTGATGCTGATTTCACAGGAATTTATCCGTTACCTATACTGTTTATGTGCATATATTTTCATATCCGTAATTCAAAACGTAATGAATTTGTCAAAATTGATTAAGTAATTTGATTTGGAGATAATTTCGAGACGGTTGAGATAAGTTCACCATGTCCGTGAAATGTTGTACAAAATGTTTACATTGCTTGTCCTTGCACATCTTGTGGTTGGGAAAACTGGTATGAATGCAGACAACAAACGTTAGCGAGAACACGCCTATTAGATACACAAAGAAATCCCTTTTTTCATAGCTCAAACTGTATTAAGCTATTAGTTGATAAACGATTTATAGATGGTTAAATCACGTTTACCTGATTAGTTGACATGCCAAGCAGGAAGGCCAGTTCACCTCCCTTGGCGACACCGACCACACCGATACCTCCAGGCTGGACATAGGGATGAGAAGCCAGCCAGTCTACAGCTTCCTAAACAGTAAATTATTTCAACTCCTACCTGAACTCCGTTAGTGTGGCAATTAAATGTTTCAAAGTGTCTTATATGGAGACGAAATAGATGACCTGATTAATCATGTTGCAGGTCAAAACAATAATTCAATCAAAGCCAGTGCCCAATTGTAATACGTTGTAATAAGTGACAAGCACAGTTCTGGGCTACCATCAGTCAATATTAGTGCACAATTACGAAAAAAGATATATTGCCATCACTTATCCATGTACTGTACATTGTCCATGGATAACAACTTACAAGAAAGTAGTCAAAGTCAACGCCAGCCAAAGAGAATGGAAGATCATCGTATTTAAAATAGGCGAGAGCAAAGGAAGCAAAGCCTCTAGAAGCCAACAATGCAGCTCGGAATTCCACCAGTCCACCTGTACAACCAAACATGTCGAGCACTCCAGGAAAGGGTCCTTTACCTGCAAACATTACATGTTTGCAAACACATATAATATTGAACAAGAAAGGTGAAAATATGAGACTAATAGACATATAATGTGTGATCCAAATATTTGAACACTTACATTAGCTGCCTGGAAGGAGCTGAAACTATCCTTAAGAATATGTCGGTCCAGATGTGAAAGTAACTGGAAGGGTCGTTTCCTTTTAACCTCAAGTATAAAGGTATGACAAATGTGTTCATACCATTGTCATTGTTCATATATTATATCACTGATTTTGAAAACTTGTATTCAAGGGAAAGTGAAATGCATGTCATTTGACTTAAGTTCACTGGAATCATATGTGTAATGTGAGGTGTTTTGAAACTACCATGGTCGCCGGTTTATGAGAACTGGATGGAATTGACAGTCCGAGAGTCCGAGGCTGTTTAAAAGGGTATTCTAAGTATCTATGTTTCTGTCAGAACACCTTTTGTTTCAAATGCTTGGAATGCATATTAAACGAAGAGATATAATACTTTACCTTCAGGCAAGAAAAGAGTTCCTCTCAAGGAACCCACGCGCACAGAGATTCTCCTGACGGTCTCGTGTTTGTACCAGCGTTGTAACTCGCCTGTTGCCAGAACAACTGACGAAGGAAGCTGGAGATCAGCAAAGGGGATGTGGTCATCCATGACAGACAGTCTGAAGACCAGAGGTGTCGTCACGTCTGCCTGTCTGAGAATTGGCTTAAGGGACACTCCAGGAACAGGATTCATACTCCAGAAGAGGCCCATGTTGTCAACACCTAAACAAAACCTGACACTCTGTTACATGTGAATTCCAATAAAGTACCTTCACTATTGTATATACCTGCACAGTGATGAGGTATTTGTAAGACAAGCTACTGCTCTGAAGTGAGAAGACCAAATCATACTACGTATACTCAACAAAACAATGGACCACTTATATCTTCTGACATAAGTAATGGCATAAAAAGTTATGATAATGGCCCATATATCCATAGTTTTGTCCCTTCAACATGCTTGTGTAACGTTACATGATATGTGATATATGTGCATGGTGTGACAGGGAATGCCCAGCATGGGATTCATGGTGTACAGTCTTAGTGTACTGTTTCGTGCCTTAAATGCCACATGTTGTGGTGTAAAACACACACTATTAATCTTCCCTGATTTGTACAATACTTACAGAAGCAAACTGCCTGGTGGGCGCCATGTCTCTACTGAAGAAACGGGTAGGACCATAAGTTTATTGGCAGCTGGTCTGGGAAAACGTCAAGATCGACGTCAGCCATAGAGTGATAATCAGATTGTGGGAGAGGTATCAGACAACTGGGTCAGTGAAGAAAAGATCTAAAACAGGACGACCAAAGATAACTACGCCCCAAGATTATCTACAAATTACCCTTGTTGAGAAGGAAAATCGTATTTCTTCTGCAATTTTATGGTCAAGAGGTGAGCTACTGTTCGGTCGGTGCCACAGACCTGTATATTATTCAGAATGACAGTAGGTGCTCAAAGATATTGATATGAGATCCTTCATCCCTTTGTGACCTTTACGCTGGTGCCATAGGCTAGGACTTCCTGGTAATGGACACTAATGCAAGACCCCACCGTGCCCGACTTGTGAATGAATACCTCCAGAGGGAGAATAGACAAGACTGACCAGCCTATTCACCAAACTCATATGAATCCCATCGAGCAGGAATATCCTACAGACACGAATTTCACCGAGAATTGTGGATAAGTTTGTGGATAGGTTGGTAGAGGAACAGCAACGAATCCCACAATCTGCTTTAAGGATTTTCGTCAAAACTTTGCTACATGTTGTCAAGCCATGATGAGAACTTGTCGAGGCCACCCTCGATATTGACACAGCTGTGAACATTTCCTATATTGACATCGATGCATTACATTGACAGTCTGTTGATGATGTGAATCGGATTGACTGGGTTATCACCAAATGCACTTCAGTTTAGGCTGCCACAGATGGTAACTCGCGTGCTACAGCTCGATCTGATTCAATAAAACACTTTGTTACTCATTGTTTGTATCTTTCTTAAAATATGGTGATGCTATTTCGGTTTTTAAGGATGATCCTTAAGTGTTTTTTGTTGAATAATATAATTTTGGTGCACACATGCAGTCAGACATGTCACACACACAGACGTCTTCCTCATTCTCATTTGAAATGAATAATCATACGATAACGAGGCAGAATACAATGCAGTCCAACAGAGAGCTACAGAAATACGATTGTTTTATGTACGAACATGGTGGAATATGAACTGAGCTTGTTGAAATTCACCTGGTTAGTATTGGGCGAATCTTGTTTTAGAGATTAATCAGATACCTTTGTATGTTCCACCAACTGAAGCATGTTGGCTGACATTAATCTGTCCTTCCTCGTCTGCTAGGAAATGGCCACATGAGCTGAAAACCGCCTTTCCTTCTTCCACGTACGCCTGTACCGTCACTCGCTGTAATGGCCGAAGACTTTTGACTGTGATGGAGACCCTCTCGTCAACTAGTGACACACGGGGGCTAATATTGAGACAAACCATGTTGGAATATGTTTTTCCTTGGCTGCCGACGAGTCTCACAGTTGCATGAGCATGATACCTTCCCCGTAATGCAAACATTATATCAGCATGTGCAGAGACAGACCTGAAATAGCTGTCCAAGTTCCTATAGGTGAGCCTTGATGTCAGGACATAAACAGGTGATCAGATGAAGAGAATGCACAAATTGTCGAATATGTACTGAAGGGATTCTGTGAAATTGGACAAAATACATTGACGACAGACTTTACATATGCAACATGACCAAATGCAAGCTGACTCATCTACAATAAATCACATTTATACCATATACTACTTTCATAATTACATCCCATCTATTTATGTTTTGACTGCTATCCTTATTTCAATTGTATTTTTATATATTCTATGCACATAGTTGAAAGTTACATTAATTTATCTGAATGCATTTTAAAATATGATATATAAACAAAGCGACAACCCCTTGCCATAGCCATAATTATAAAAGCAACAATAACCTTTTTCTTTAAACCCTTTGCATTGTTATTTCTTCCAAAACATTAGTTCATTATATACTGAACCGCAAAAGAAACGTCACCCAAGTAACATTGCATGAAAAGTTGTCATTTAGATATCTGGGTAATTTTTGTCAAAGTTTCTAAAATTAAACAAAGCAGATGACAGTAAAACAGATCGCCAAAACGCATCACGGCAACGGCCATGGTAATCCGATGCACGTAAGTTCCGTGAAAATTGAAATACACATGCGTTCTCCGATTTCTTGCCCTATAATAATCCACCCAGATCGGATAACATTCATTCATTGTTGAATTGCTACCACATGCCAAAATTGACAGGAAATCAGCGACACCAAGCCCTTGGACAATTGCAAGCTGGACAAACCGCCCGGCAAGTAGCCAATGCATTTCAAGTCCACGTAAGGACCATATACAGACTCCAACAACGGTACAAGACCACCAACACTACAGATGACCGATCACGTAGTGGAAGATCAAGGGTTACAACCCGACGTCAGGATCGTCAGATTGTGCGACAGAATCTTCAAGATCGCTTTGTTACTGCTGCGGAAACTGCTCGACAGACCATAGGGACACACCAGCGACACATCAGTGCGGACACCATGCGTCGACGCTTGAAGAGCAGACACGTCTACTGTCACAGGACATACCGAGGACCCAATCTGACACCACGTCATCGCCGGGACCGTCTTCAGTTGGCAACACAGCACCAGCATTGGCGCAACGAGCAGTGGCGAAGAGTCCTCTTCTCAGAGCTAAGACGTTTCTGCATTTCAACAGCAGATGGCAGGGAGAGAGAGTCTTGCGACGCCGTGGGTACGTTATTCGGATGCTTGTGTTGTCGAGAGAGACTTGTTGGGTGGTCCAAGCACAGAGCGTCGGCCCTGTGGTCGTCCAGAACATGGGTCCAGGGAGAGGCAATGGTGTCACAGCAGCTCGGTACATTGATCAAGTCTTGAGACAACACGCCATACCTCATTTGGCACGTCGCCGCAGCCACGAGTATCAGCATGATAACGGCTTTGGCCACACTGCGAGAGCAACAAGAGACTTCCTCCAGCAGAATGGCATCAGAACCATGCAGTGGTCTGCCCTCAGTCCCGATTTAAATCCCATTGAACACCTGTGGGACGAGATTCAAAGACGGCTGAATGACGTCCGACCAAGACCGACAACTGCTGCTGAACTGCATCAGGCGTTCCTCAGAGAGTGGGCTCAAGTACCTGTGGCCCTCATCAACCGCCTAATCCATTCCATGTATCGACGTTGCACGGCAGTCATCAATGCACATGGCGGACACATGAGATACTGACTTGTGATGCCATTTTCTCAGACTAGATTTGTGTTTCACATTAAGAACATTTGACACTGTATTTTCAACCTTGATGATCAGTTTTGCCAAGTTTCATCTTTTTAATATGTCTCAAAGTATGTTTACAGTGTTTGGATCAATACGGTTTCTCAAATATCTATCCATGGTGACGTTTCTTTTGCGGTTCAGTATATGATTCTAACACTATTCCATGTGTTCATGAAACGGGAACGAATCCTATCCCAACAGTGTTCACAGTCAAGTGTTAACTTGAACAAGTATGCTACAAATCAAATAGGGAAAAGCACTTGACATTATGTAGGTCACAGATGCGACAAATTTGGAAATGTCCTGCGCGTGCCTACCATAAAACATTTTGAAAGCTTTACAAAGTCCATGCATGCTGTAACCCTGGCCAAACATCCTTTTCAGAAAGACTCGCATCACTAACTAAGGACGACGAAGAAGTTGCTCACAACACGCTCATTTAAAGAACATGCTTGAGTGTACCTCAGCAGTTGTGAAATGTAGACAAACAGGCTGGAGCTGATTTTCCTGAACATAGAAGGAGGTTATACATTTTCAACCAAAACTGGGGATGAGTGTTTTAACTAACTTATGGAGCCTCCTTAATACAAGACATGCCAGCCTTGGAAATGGCCACATGAGCTGAAAACTGCCTTTCATTCTTCCACCCTTGCCTGTTCCGTCACGCGCTGTAATGGACGAAGATTGTTGACTGTGATGGAGATCCTAAAGTCAACTAGTGCCACACATGGCTTAATGCTGAGATATGACATGCTGGATTATGTTTGTCTTAATTAAGTAGGGATGATGCATTTGATAATGAAGTCATTAAACGAAAGTTACCCTCAACCATTATTGAGGTGAGGTGAAATGGGGTTTAACGTCGCGTCCAAGATTATTGCACTTATATAGCGACCAACCATTATTGAGGCACATACTGACAACTTGGTAGTAGGCATGCACAGTTTTCCCTACTATGGGAGATACCTCCAAATGATGCGAAACACAAAATGTAGGCACACCAAAAAAACTTTATTATGACTTATAAGATTCCTTAAAGCGGTTAAATGGTATCAAGTTTAATTTTTTGACATTTAAAAGAAGCATTCAGAAATTTCTAAAAGTTCAACTGGTTGCCATGGAACAATTTTAAAAAATTCAAATAGCTTAAGGCACAAGTTGAGCATCTACCCGACAGACCTGCAAAGTTTCATGAAAATATATTGAACGGTTTATGAGTTATGCTCCGGAAACCAACCCTACCCTCACAGAACCCGCCAACTTCCTTGGGCGGGGGATAAAAATTAACGGGTGTCGACTCAAGTAATATTATCAACTTTAATGAAACCTATACACGCCCTAGGGCGATGGGAATTGGCTTATAAGTCCGATGGTACAAAATGGGGTCTAATATTTGGACAGAGCCTGCTGGAATATGCACGACCGACCACTGTTTAAGATACGAAGAAATGTAGACAACACAAGGATTTTTATGTACCATGGGGTATCAATGACGATTACTTCCTTTTGAAGTTTTGTTCGGTTATTGCTGTTATTCGGTTATACATTGAAATGTCAAACGTCACTAATATAGATTTTGATATAGTTTGTTGTGGGTAAGTATTAAAGAAATTGCAAATGTTCAAGAATTGCCCCTTTCTTCTCACTCGCAATCTGGATTTTGAGACAGTGAATTCGACTTAGGTGTTTGTCAAGGACATGAGACAAAGATACAGGTATACACTGGTAGAATGTCTTGTGGAAATGGAAATGGCAGCAGATGATGAACTTTTAGATTCCTGTTCCATTTCACTTGATTTTGCAATTGTGTAAAATCACGTGCATCTGCTATAAAAATGCTATGTAAATGTTTGTTACTATTGTATTACCTTGTGAAGAACAATTTCACAGAACTTACTCAAAGTTTTTAACAAATTCCCGATCTTTATGGTGAGAAGCTCTGGTTATTACGCTTTGAAGAATGCAGCACAAATCCATGTGAACTGTTTGCAATCAAAACCATAGAAACGCAACCGTTGTTATGCAAAGCAATCATATAAAACGTCTAAACTGATGGTAATTAACAATCGGGCCGTTTGTCAACATAATGACGATATCAAATGGAACACTCTTGGTATTTGGAGAACGAAAGTGGTATGTGCATACTTCAAACTTAACTGTCATTTTGCAGGTACAGCCAATTGTCAGTGACACATGACACTGAGTGAGATTTCTCTGTTCGCTTTCCAGGTCACTAATTAGTGGTAGATGGGCTTGTCGGTGATCAGATATCAGTTCGCTATATCCGTTAGTTCGCTGTAGAGAGTTCGTTACATACGTCAATTTTATATGATAATGTATAGGAGATAAATCGGGGATGTTTTTAACAGTTCGTTGTATCCGTTTGTTAGTCCTATCCGTGTTCGTAATATCCGTGTTTATGTGTGTAACAGTTTACTTAAGCTGTGAAAAAGGACAGGATGTCGACCGTTCTGAAGTTTTATTTGTAAACAGAAGCTCTACTCGGCTCTGCTCCAGTCACCACACCGGTGAAAGTTGATCACGTGGCTGGATTCTTGTGCATAGCAAC